CTGCTAACCAGAAGGTTGTTGGTTCAAATCCACAGCTACTCCCCAGAAGGAAGATGGGGCAATCTACTTCCATAAATATTTACCACCTTGGTAACCCAATGGGGGTCACTATGAGTCAGAATCAACTTGATGTCAGTGAGTTTGGTTTGGTTTTTTTATTAGACATCCAAGTGGAGAATGATTCCACTACTGGGGGGGGAGATGAACTAAGTTTCCTTCAAAAGCTCCATTTACATGAGTCCTAGACCACAAAGAAGTGGTTCAATACAAGTTATCAAAGTTCAGGTAAATAAAAACTCATTTAAGCATGGGTTGATCTGAGAAAATGAACTTGAAAATGAACATAATTAAAATGGGCACACAAGAAGACCCTATGCAAAGCAACAAAGAAGGAAAAGTGGAACCGAAGAAAAACAAGAGAGAGGGGACAAAGGGAAGAAAATAGGACGGAAGATTCTATCGGTGAAGTTTCTCCAAGCACTAAAATGGAAGATAAGATTATACAAGATCAAGTGGCTGCTTGAATCAAAATATGTATTTAAAAAAAAAAAAACACTTCTAGGTCTGGAGGCATGTTGAGACTGAAACTGAAGATAGGACTTCCAAGTAGAGATGTCACATAGCAAGAAAAAAATGCAGTTGTTTAGCAAACCACTGTACATTAGATTATTAAAAATAGTTACTAATATAGCGTAGGAGCTCCGGTAGCATAGTGCCTAAGGCATTTGACTGCTAACCAGAAGGCTGGCAGTTCAAACCCACCAGCCACTCTTCAGAAGGAAGACTGGGCAATCTACTTCCGTAGTGATACTGCCCTGGAAGCCCAAGGACGGGTCGCAAGAAGTCGGGTCCAACTTGACAGCAAATAACAACAATATATCTCTATAGCACTACACAAAGAATTTTCATATTCATGATTTAATGCAAGCTTCAAAATTCTTTGAAAACAATGCCTCTGTGGTGTAGTATATTACTTAGTGTGGCTTTTCTACCCATAAGTCTTTGTAAACTCAATGGTGGAATGAGCAATTGAGGAGCTCCCTATTATAAACGTTATCCACCTGGGGTATTTCTGTTGGGCGTGACACAACCACAATGTTCTGGGAGGCTCACTCTCTCTCACGTGCTTAGAATTCTGATGCTATGATTGGCTAGTTTGGCCACTCTGCCAGGCTCAAAAGGAGGCCTCTTAGAGGCAGAACTCTCTCTGACTGCTGGTTGAGGAAGACGTGCTGCTGAAAAAGACACATGCTCCTGAAAGACACACGCATTGCTGAATGAGACACTGAGGACCACTCACTGTTAGAGAGAGACTGTGAAAGACTGTGGGCTGGGAGAGAGACTGAGCACTTTTCCTGAACTTGAATTGTAACCTGGTGCTTCCCAAATAAACCCTGTAATCTGTGAGTTCTGTGTGGCCATTGCAGTGAATTACCAAACCCAGGAGAGAGCTTGTGGGTGCTTTGGGAGTAACGGTTGGTGAAAGGGCTGGAGGGAAGCAGCATGTCTGGTCTTGAAGTAATAGGCCTTGGGTTAATGATGGTGATTCTGTCTTCCTCTTGTTCCATTAGAGGAGGCCAGGATATGTGGCCTTCCTGCCTTTTTTGCAGTATAAAAACATGAAACAAATTCTACAAATTCAGTAGCATCCAGAGAAAATAAAGATTAGGATGTAGTACAAGAGACAGTGAAAACTAAAACTGTAACTGTGCTTTAAAAAGGAATGATTTTCCTTCATGACATAAACAAAAAAAAAACCCAAACCCACTGCCATCGAGTCAATTCTGACTCATAGAAACCTCCACTGGGTTTCCGCGGCTATAAATCTTTATGGAAGTAAATTGCCCCATCCTCCTTCTGTGGAGAAGGAAAGAAAAAGACACAGGAAAGAACCAGAAAGGAAGAAATAAAGATCCTATGGTATGGGATTTGGTTTCTTGGTTTGGAGATTTAAAAACTCAAAAATCAAACTCACTGCTATCCAGTCAAATCCAACTCATAGAGACCCCCTCTGTGTTTCCAAGGTGGTAGATCTTTACAGAAGCAGATTGCCCAATCTTCCTTCCACAGAGTGGCTGGTGGTTTGAACCATTAACTTTCTGGTTACCAGTCAAACAATGCCTTAGGCACTGCGCCACCAGAGCCCTTTTGGAAACTTAGGGTCATGTTTTAATGGGACATCCCAGTTAACTGGTCTAATGACTTGTTTACTTGATTAGTGCTTCTGTTCTCCCTCCTAGTTCACTGCACAATGCTTGGGGTCTTAAAAGCTTGCAAGCCTTTTTCTAAACCACAATGAGTGTCTATTAGCCTAAAGCAAGAGAAGAAGCAGGAGCCTCAGGAATAAAGGGAGGATATGAACAACTGCCTCCCCTTTGCCATGAGACCAGAAGAACTGGATGGTGCCTGGCTACCATTACTGAACATTCTGTTCAAAGGAATAAGGAACCCTGATTAAAAGCAGGGAAATGCAAAACAGAATTTCAGATTCTCCTGGACTCAAGACTTCTGGAGCCACAGGCGCCGGATGAATCTCTGAAACTATTGCCCCGAGATCATCTTTAAACCCTAAATCAAAAATATCCTCTAAATTATTCTTAAAACTGAACAATTTAGCTTAACTAGTAAAAATGTGTGCCTTGAGCATAATGCTTTTTAAAGAACTAGCTATATGAGATCAAACTGTCAAAAGCAACTCAAAAGACTGGACAGGAACCTTAGAAGACAGTGAGTGTATGCTAAGGGGAACAAACAATTCAGAAAAGGCAGGTGACAAGAGATGCACAACTCAAAGAATTTAACCAATGCCACTAAATGGTACATGTAGAAACGGAATTGGTGTATATTCTGCTTTGTACATTCTCAACAACAGTAACATAAATAATATTTTGTGGGAGGTCAGCAGAAAGACCAATGAGACAAGAGAAGGAACTAAAGAAGAAATGCTGATGGAGTGAACTGGACTCGGAGTCGAGCCCAAACACACTTCTCCTACTGGGAGGACCAGCCATTCTCCTTCAGTATCTCATTTTTTTCATCTGCATTTACTCCTGAGAATTTTGAGAATGATAAAATTTAAAAAGCTTGAAAAGAAAATATGCTACTAGGCAAATTCAAGGTAAAATTAGTAATACACAAATCATAAATATTTTAGCTGTTACACAGGTTTAAAAGCCAAGTAATGTTTTTTATGGTGCTTCTGCTAGCTTTTTACAGCTCTAACGATTGAGATTAACAGTAATAATAACTGGTGTACCCTACCTTTGCAGTCAGGAGCAGGGCTAAAAGAAGAGTTCCTATCACTAACAAAAATATGATGAAAATGCTAATTATTTTGTCTAACATCTTCTCCAACCAGATGATCATCTGCACAGAAATGAAACACAGAATTACTTATCTTTATAGCACAACTTAATAAAAACACATATGTATTCAAACATCATGAAGATAAAACGGGATATTACGCATTGCAAAGCAAACTGTAGCGTAATGATTAAAACAGCGAAAGCCGTAAGCAACTTTAAAAAGTGAACTATTAATCACTACTGTAATCTGAAATGCATTATTGTCATTATCTAAAAAAAAAACACAGTCAATCTGAACATAAATCTGTATGTGTTTGAATCACACACTATGGATCCTCTCAGAGATTACTCTACAATCTGGTAACTATTCTGAACAAAGTAATGACATGCCATTAGTTGACCTCAGATCTCCTGAAATTTTAATGTCAATTAGCAAAGAAGCACCACATTTAAACAAAATGACTCTTAAAAAGACTGACTACTCCTAATAATACAGGTCTATCCTAAATTATACAGACAAAATAGGAGCTGCATTTTAAAAATATTTTCCTTTTAATGTGCTCCTTTGATCTCATTACACTTTACAAAGTGGTAAAAATAAAAACCTGATGTGAAGGGAATGATAAATATCAACTTCAGCCAAACAGCCCCCCTGGGGGGAAGAGGGTTGAGGGACAGATGCTGGCAGATACCAAACAGGGGTCAACTCCTAGGTGATGTTTTATCAAGATGAATGCTCATTATACCTGTTTATATTGAAATATTCATGACAGAATCCTTCTAAAACTCTGATGTTCCACTTGAAATTTCTATTCTTTTTAAAAAATAAGTTTTATGAAATTATAATAAATAACTGTAAATGAAGAATCATCACTTTAGCAGTTACTCCTTAATTATTAACTTAAATTAAAATCTCCCTAAATGTTATTTGACATTCTATATTGACTATAACTTCCCTCATCTTCCAAAATAAAAAAAATACTACATTTTTTTAAAGTTTTTGTTTTCAAAATATGTAACAATGCTAAGGTTCCTGCCATGCAAGGCTACTGTTTAACGTTTTAAATTGAAATTAATAATGACTGCTGAAAACACCACATTTTATCTCTAATCCAATATAAGTTCCAGCATTGTTAAGTAAGTGATTCTTAATTTAAATCTGAATATGCTCTCCAAACAGTGAGGAAAACAACCAAGAGCAAAGAAAATTTTAAAACAATACTGCATATGTAAACAGCAATCGGTTCCCTCTCTTTAGGAACAGTACTTGAAGAGCTCTATTCAACTTCTTAAACATAATCTTAAAATGCTTAGATTCTGGCCACTTCCCGAAGAGAATGTGAGTAAAATCATCATCCTTACAACATTCTGATTCAATTGATATCAACTTCTAATGAACATAGATTATTAACTATTTTAACCAAATGGAAGGAGGAGTTTCATGAACCTAATTAACTTTTGGAATACTTACCTTCCACTCAATGCTTATAAGCTTGTCTTCCCCTAATCTAGTTTTCATGTAGGATACTGTCACTTAAGAGATTAATGCTACAGTGGACATAAAGCTAAAAGTGCATCTTTAATCTTGATAGTTACAGCTTCAAACAGAGGAGTTAATTTTCAGTGCATGCTACCAAAGCACCCAAGACAAGGCAGAGACTAAAAAAAGTAATAACAGGTTCTAAGATATGGAAGGTCACATGTCATATTTTGAAAGTAAGTTCTAAAATCAATTAAACAGACAGAAAAGTTACACAATCACCGAGCTCTTGAGACAGCTCCCTGAGAAAAGGGCTAGTGTATCACTACTTTTTGTATCTCTAGAATGTAACATCATGCATGACACAAGGCGGGCATCCAGTTAATATCGTCTGAATAAACATGAATAAAATAATTTTACAAGCTAAACCAGATATGGATTCACAAATTATAATCTCTGAAAATAAATAGGGAGCTTGTGTTTTTTAGAAAAGTCATATTCTGAAATACATATTTTAAAACTAAGTGATGTTCTACTTACAAAGAATAGATATCTGAATTTGTCTGGAAGAAAACAAGGAATATTCACAAAAATATTATGTACATCAACATTACAAAATCAAACTGAGGCAGAGAGAGGGGGTGGTCACATACTTTTAAATCAAGAATAGGGCCATTTTTATTTCCTGTCACAAGCCATATACTCGAAGATGGGAAAATATCCACTAAACGTCACTTAAATAAAAACCTGTATTCAAGGGGACATAGTGCAAGTTAAATGTTTCATTTAAAGTTTTAAATAAATAAAATCATTGAAGATGAATACATAAGCTAAATTTTTTTTATGTTTACATTACAGTTAGCTAAGGTAAGATGAAAGAGGTAAGAAGGGAGACAGTGTAAGAGACAGAAGAATGGAAAAGAGAGAGAGACACATTGAAGAATAAAGGGAGCTGGCAGGACTGTCAAGCGGTACGACCATTATGGAAAACAGTATGGTGCTTCCTCAAAAAGCTACAATAGAAACCCCTTAAGATCCAGCAATCCCACTCCTAGATATATCCTAGAGGCATGAGTAGTGACACCAATAGACATATGCACACCTCTGTTCATCGCAGCATTGTTCACAATAGCAAAAAGAAAGAAGAATGTAACTGCCCATCAGCAGATGAATGGATAAACAAACCTGGTATATACAAACAGCAACTGTAAAGAATAATGAGAAGTCTATGAAACATAACATGGATGTATCTGGAGGACATTATGCTGAGTTAAGGAAGTCCATCACAAAAAGACAAGTACTATATGGTCCCACTATTACAAGTCAAGAATAGATACACACACAGAAACCAACATTCTTTAATGGTTATCAGGGATGGGACGGAGAGGGAATCACCGTCCAGATAGAAGACACTTATTTTGGATAATGGGAAAGGCAAGACAGAATATGGGCAAAGTCAGCATGACGCAACCAGGGTAAATAAAGACACTAAGAAGTACACGAGAAAGAGGGACAATGTTGGTAAATGCTGTAATATATACAATTTTGTAACAACAACCAAAAAATGTGTGTGGTTACACAGCAGACATGGATGCCTGTGTGTGCAAAGAAAGGCATAAGCAAGTAAGTGCACATGCATGTGTAGGTGTTGACCCACAGAGACCCCTCCTTGGGTTTCCGAGGCACTATCTCTATGGAAGTAGATTGCCCAATCTTCCTTCCAAGGAGTTGTTGGTGGGTTTAAACCACCAGCCTTCTGGTTAGCAGTCAAGTGCCTTAGATACTACGCCACCAGAGCTCCCTGTATAGGTGTATCTATAGTCATTTTTATGTGTATATGTGTGTATGTGTGTGTGTACACACACAAGATTGTATGTGTTGCATATATATCCATGTATATAACAAAAGGGGGCACAGTTACAGCCTTCTCAGATATATCCAAACAACTCATGGGATTGGTTTACAGGGTTAAAAGGGTTGCGACCATAGTCTCAGGGGACAGCTTAGTTAATTGGCAGAACAAAGTTCACAAAAATAATATTCCACATCCTAGTTTAGTGAGTAGCATCTGGGGTCTTAAAAGCTTGCAAGTGGCCATCTAAGATACAACTATTGGTCTCTATTTATACGGAGCAAAAGATAATGAAGGAATTCAAAGGCTCAAAGAAGAAACTAAGCTATGGGACCAAGAGTTCACAAAAACCACAAGCTCTTCTAACCCAAGGCCAGAGGAACTAGAAGGTGGCCTGTTACCATTACCTACTTTTCTGATGAGGGACACAATAGAAGATCCTGGATAGAATGGAAGAAAAATGTAAAACAAAACTCAAATTCCTAAAAAACCCCAGACCGAGTGGACCAACAGAGACTAAAGGAACCCCCAAGAGTATCACCCTAAGATAATCTTTGAATGGGGAATTGAAGCTACTTCTACAGGTCACCTTTCAGCCAAATAATGTTGTTGTTGTTGTTGTTGTTATGTGCTGTCAAGTCGGACCCGACTCATAGCGACCCCCCCCTTGGGTTTCCCAGGCAAGCATCACTACGGAAGTAGATTGCCCCATCTTCCTTCCAAGGAGTGGCTGGTGGGTTTGAACCGCCAGCCTTCTGGTTAGCAGTCAAGTGCCTTAGGCACTATGCTACCAGAGCTCCTAGCCAAATAATAGAGGGGTTTATAAAAGAAACAGTATCACCCATGAGTAATGTGCTCCCTTAAATAATGAACAGTATGAGACCAAACAGTCAACAATTACCCAAAAGCAAAAATGAGAAAGCAAGGAGGGGAAGGGGTGCTAATCAATGGACACAGAACAAACACCGTATCATGAAAATGCTGTCAAACTGTAAAAACTGTAACCAATGGCACTGAATGACGTGTATGAAAATGGTTAAAGAGGAACCTATTTTGCTGTGTAAACTCTGACCTAAAACAGTAGTTTAAACAAAGATAAAAGGAAATGGACAAAGTCAAGAAAAGAAAAGAAAAACACAGGAGAAGGGGGAGCTTGGGTACAGAAGGAACAACCAAGAGAAAAAAAGAGGATCAAAAACTTAGGTAAGGAAAAAGGAACACACCCCTGCAAGAGCCAGTGGAACGAGACGCACAAGGAAACAGAAACTCAGAGATGGAAAGAGAAACACGGACAGAGGAAACAAGAGAGGAGGAGGGGAAAGGCGGAGACAATTCCTAAGGAAACCCCAGAGGTGCTGTCCGAAGCTGATCTGCGCCATGCACTGGTCTGAGCAAAGGAAACCAGACCACCTGTCACCAAAGCCCTCCCTGTGGAAATCGCAGTCTCTAATAATTTCTCATCTCCCATGCTGTGAGGAGTTAATGTAGTTTTTAAACTTTGTTTTCTAAACTGTGAAAGGAAGTAATTTTAAGATGGTATTCTGCATGTCATGAAGTATGAATGAAGGCCATGATCTATACAATTTTGTAACAACCAAAAACGTGTGTGGTTACACAGCAGACACGGATGCCTATGTGTGTACAGAAAGGCATTAAGCGAGAAGTGCATGCGTCTGCAGTCATTTCTAGACCAAAAGAGTCTCTAAGTTCAGAACTGTCTGACCTACTACTGCTTAGGGCATGAAGTTCCTGTTAAAGCATGGGGAAAATTTTGAGAAATGAATAGTGGTGAGGGTTACCTAACATGGTGAATAATTAGTGTCACTGAACAGGGAAAAAAGGTTGATGTTGAAAATGTTTTGTTAAATATATTTTTACCACAATTTTAAAAAAAGAAAAACCTAATTCTACTCTTCAACCTATTAAGAAAGTGTCTTTCCACTACTGAGTTTTGCTTCTATTTCATTATTCTGGGTTTGTAGATTTCACTTTGTTTTTTAAGCAAATTCTAATTGCAGCTGAAGCTTGGTGTAAGCAACAGATACCAAGGAATGAAAATTAGGCAGAAACAGAGAAGTTATATTTCAGTTAACTGTAAGACACACTCTCTTTCACCCTTTTTTCTTCTCTTGAACTGTTTTCCTAATTCACTCCACTGTAATTCTTTACATTCCAAATATTTGATGCCATAATTCTCTGACCTTAGATGTAATGAAACAAAACACTCCTCAACTTTTTTATCTACTTTCCTGGAACATAAGCTCCCAGAACTTGCAACAGTCACTCTGACCGTACACCAGTGCTTTATCTATGCGACACAGAATCATCAAAAGTTACTTGAGCTTTTAGGAATCTTTTAAAACTAACTTACACACTATTTACTTATGAATTAGACCCATAAAATAGGAATCTCACTCATTTAGTTCACTGAAGGCTCTTCAAGTTGAACCTAGTGACCAGCTCTCTCTTTTCTGCCCTCTCAAGTACGAATTGGAGGATACGAACCGCCTACCTGGATCAAAATAAGAAAATGTAACTTATGTTTGCAGCACTATCACTGGCCAAGGATTGATTCCATTTACTAACACTAGTCTTGTAAAGAATGAAGTTACATACAACCGTGTGTGTTTGCATATTTGACACACTGTTTTCAATCCATAGTTTAAAACTTTAGGCATCATTAAAAGTCTCCCCTTTCCTCCGTTTCAACAGAAAAAAATTGGAATTCTAACAATCTTTAGGCTCATAAGTCTCATTCTGATCAACTTTCAAAAAGTGCCACATCATTTTTAAAAAACTGCTGTAATATTCCCACTGAAGACTTTTAGAGTCTTACTGTGTTTAAAAACAATATTCATAAATGACACTATCTCTTTTCTATCTGTCCCAGGGATCACGTGAAAGAAGATCAAGAACGTGGACTCTACATCATGGGCACAAAGTTACTAAAGCATCTAGATTAGCCTGTGCTGATATGATTAGAAAGTACCTGTTATAATTCCACACCAATCACGTAAAGTATTTACAACCTCACACCTTGGGAAATACACTAAATTAGATGTTACAGGTCATAACTACAATCTTTTTTAAGTTAAAAATAAAATGGCAGAATACTAGTTATAAAAAGAGACAAAATTAGCAGCCAAGGATACCACACAATACCCCACAGATTTATCTTTTTAAAATTCCTACAAGTGTCATGAATGGAAAAAGTAACAAGCAAGAGCTTTCCTCCTTTCCAGTGCCCGCTGCCAGGTATCTCCCACCACAAAGAGCCTAGAGCACCAGGCTGAGCCGCATCACAGGGCTGAAGAGGAACAGAGATAGCTCAGCACAGACAGAAAGACAGAAGACAGAACTGCTTACAAACCCCTGGGCAAGGAAACACCACCCTTTCCGAAACAGCCTTTGTTGGGCTTTTACCAAATGGTAAACAGCCCAGTAATTCAGACTTCACGACCTTCCATAGCTTATAATTAGAATTTAAAACAAACAAACAAAAATCTTAGTTAGACATCTGGACAGAAACACTGTGTGAGAAGGGAGATACAGGGGAGAAAGTTACAGAATTCAATAGTAAATACCAACATCCATGTGTTCATTTACCTTCTTATTGAGCCAGTGCCAGAGCTTGAGGATGGGGGGGTAAGTGAGAAAGAGAAGATCAGAACAGTGGAACTTCATTAGAGAATGCAGTAACAGTATGAAAAGAAAAGACAGTCACCGATAGCATGAGAGGAAATTATTCCACACAAATGAAAAACTACAAAAGGAAAAAACAAACTGTAATGCATTAACAAAGTTTACAAATCAAGAGAATGTAATATTCCTTTAAAATGTACATTAATTGAAATGATGACAACCACAAGCTTTGTTGGTAAGTTAACAATTAAAAATACATAAAACAACCTGAATACCTGTGGATTTAAACAGTCACACCAAATTCCAAAGACGAGAGTAATAAATGTTAAGATCTTTTCAAGTATCACGGACCAAAATTTTAGTTCCTATATAAACTAGTTCAAGGAGCTTGGGTGGCATAGTGAATAAGGCATTTGGCTGCTACCGAGAAGGTCAGCAGTTCAAACCTACCAGCCCCCACAGAAGGAAGATGGGGCAATCTACTTCCATAAAGATTTACAGCCTCGGAAACCCAGTGGGGGTTGCTCCAAGTCTGAACTGACTTGACAGCAGTGAGCTGTTTTGTTTTGATTTTTGTATAAACTAATTCATGTTCTTAGACCAAATTTTCATTGAACTTTCAAGTTGTAGCTTATAGTGTCAGTTATTCCACATTTTTCAGAAGAGAAAAACATTTCTGTGTTCATTTAGAGCAGTCAACACTTGGTCAAAACAGATGTATAACATTGTTAATATTTCATCCCAATCTTTATGCACGTCTTTGTGCTGTATGTTATACCCAGCTTTTCTTCACACAAATGTTACCTCATCTGAATCTCACAATATGTAATGCTATATGTTCTTTCTGATGAATACATAAAACCCACTGCCATTGAGTTGATTCTAACTCATACAGACCCTTTAGGACAGACAGAGTAGACCTGCCCCAGAGGGCTTCCAAGCCTGTAATCTTTACAGAAGCAGACTGCTCATCATTCTCCTGCAGAGCAGCTGGTGGGTTTGAACCACTAACCTTCCGGCTAGCATCCAAATGCCTTAAATCACTACATCACCAGAGCTCCCTTTTGATGAATATATAATAATCTAAAAATCACTAAACACAGGATTTAAGGAATTATTAGTCACACAAAAGTCTTAAAACATAATTTTAGAGTGATCATAAATCTTCGCAGAATTTCCCTTAAAGTACACTTTGCATGTTTTGATACACATTTCAAATTATCTCTTGTATACAGGTCATTTCAGAAACACTGGTCCAACCAATTAAAATTTAATAAAACAATGACAAATAGGAATCTTCTGCAAAAAACAGCAGCTCAAATATATCACTATATTAACCAAAAACAAACTCACTGCCATCGAGTCAATTCCAACTCACAGCGACCCGCTTTGGGTTTCCAAGGCGGTAAATCTTTACTCCTGGGAGCTGTGGGGGCACTGTGCCTAAGGCATTTGACTGCTAACCAGAAAGCTGGTGGCTCAAACCCATCAGGCACTCCTCAGAAGGGAAGGTTGGCTATCTACTTCCATAATGATACCACCTCAGAAACCCAAGGAGAGTTCGTTATAGGTTGGATTCGACTCGACAGCAGTGAGGTTTTTTTATTTTCTTCCCCAAAATCTCTATGGAAATAGACTGCCCAGTCATCCTCTCACAGAGTGGCTGGTGGGTTTGAACCACCAACCTTCTAGTTAGCAGTCAAATGCCTTAGGCACAATTCTGGCATCAACTGTAATCTTCCTTAAATAGGAGACAAACCAAACCACACTCACTGCCGTCCAGTTGGATCCAACTCACAGGGACCCCTCCTTGGGTTTCTGAAGCGGTATCACTACAGAAATAGATTGCCCAGTCTTCCTTCTGAGGAGTGGCTAGTGGGTTTAAACCGCCAGCCTTCTGGTTAGTAAATGTCTTAGGCACTACATGACTGGCATATCAATTAATACAAAAATGGCAAATCTTTACAAGGCTGCCTCCATAACAAAGAGCCCTGGAAGCGCAGTGGTTAAGCGTCAGCTAACCCAAAAGGTTGGCAGTTCAAACCCAACAGCAGCTCTGCAGGAGAAAGATGTAGCAGTCTGCTTCCATAGAGACTTACAGCCTTGGATATTCTATGGGGCGTTCTACTCTGTCCTATGAGGTCACTATGAGTCAACTGACTTGGTAACAATGGGTTTGGTTTGCTTTCGGCCTCCATTATGAATATTTTTTGATGCTCCTAGAACTTCAGCTGACACATTACACTGTTGAATTTTCCTAAATGAAACATTCCAAGTACAAGTGAATGCTAAAAATAGATTTTAGTTTGTCACTCTTTGAAAATAGTAAGACAGAGAAATTGAAGTAAGAATCAAACAGGTCAAAATGCTAAAAGTGCTCCAGTAAGATAAGCTTCACACAAACACTAGGGAGATGTGATAAATACGGTGAAATCTGTGAAAGTCTCTTCATTACTTCTTGTTTAAAAAGTTCAAAAAATGTCATTGAATTATATAATTATTTGGGGGGGGGACCATCCAACATTCAGATCTATGTTTACTCTACCTAAAATGACTTTTTTTTTTTTTTATTCAGTGTTGGCAAGGGCTCAAGGAAATGGGATTCCCATATGCTGTGCTACTGGAATGAAAACTGGTAAACTTTCAGGAGCTGGTCAGGCAATACGTAAGAAAATGTATAATGTTCATTCCCTTTGATCCAGCAATATTTTTATTATGGATGACTATAAAGATTTATTCCCCCTCCTGTGAACTCCAGTTATAATTCTCGACCCATATCTACACCAGCTTCATGTAACAGTATTAAAGTCATGATGGGATCATTAAAGGAAATACCTGTTAGTCTTCATAATGAAGTTCAACTTGCTCATCACAGCATACGAAACAACTGAGCTGATTCAATCTCTAACTCTCCAGCTTTACCTCCCACCACTCACTGTCATGGTCTGACCATGCACTTGTCATTCCCTAAGAATCACACCGTAGAAGTCTCTGTGCCCTTCGCACTGTTCCATCTACCTACTCAGTTCCTACCATGTCCAGTAAACTCCTACTGACACTTTCTACTTTGCTCCAGCATCACTTCCTCTATAAACCTTCCCTCTGCCACCACCCACCACAATATTTCCTGCTCAGTACTACCAATGTAACCTGTACATATTTTTCCTACACAAATAAGCTAATGCTTAAATAGAGCTTACTGTGTACTAGGTACTGACCTAGGAATTCTGTATATATTAACTCATTTAACCTTCACAACCATGAAGGAGGTATTATTATATGAATTTATTGATAAGGAAACCAAGGCACAGAAAGGTTAAGAAACCTTATGGTCACATAATTTGTAAACAGAAGAGATCTGCAATCAGACTCTAGATTCAGAATCTGCATCACCAGGCCTTTGAATCTGGTCACTGCCTGAGTCACTGACCTGCTGTCTCTTCCCCTACACAGAAATTGACCTTCTCTCCCCACTGAACTTCTGCCAGGAAACCTCTGCATCTGATTCCCTGATTTACCCAAGGACTGAGCGTAAGATCTGACACATGGGAAGTACTCCAAACATATTCACTGGACTGAACTGAGCCACTACCTGGTTCTATGGCCATCAGGCAAGTCACTCAATCCCTCTATACTTCAATTTGGTCCTTATAAAATGAAGAAGTTGAACTAAGTGCTCTGTAAGAGCCCCTTCTCTCATTTATTAGAGGAGGAGGGAAAAAAAAAAGAAAGGTACTCAGTACTAATTTGAAGTAAACCCAACTTGTATTTACACCATAATTCAAACTTTAAAATTTCACTACAGGAAGGAATCAAGGGGGAAGAAAACTGCACTAGACTGATATATTAAAGGTGTTATCAACAATTATAAACACTATATACCATGACATAGGGTATTTCAACCCATGAAATACATAAACCCTTTAGAACAGCCCATGCTCTTAAAATACATTACCTTGCTGTCAACTTTCAACAAGAATTTTCCAAGCCCAATGATTGGCCAAGGTGCTAGAGCTTCCTGCCGCTCCTTCAGGAAGCGCTCTACGACCTGCCACCACAGGCAGCAGCGTTTCTCCAGGAAGTTCACAGCTCCAAAGTGAATAATAAGCTTTTTGAGTATCCAGACTATAAAGAAGATAAAAAACACACACATAAACAAAATGCAGATTAAAAGGTTATAACAAGAAAAAGGGCCCTTACTGGAGTGTGTCATACCAGTGAGGCTATGAGAAACCACTGCACCATTCCCTAATCAGCAGCAGTTTTTTCTTAGTGATTCATAAAATAATGATGCATCTTACAGTCAATGGTATTGGGAAATGCAATTAATGTGCAAATATGGCAGAAACTATACAGTCTTATAGTTTATATTTGTATGCTAAGTCATCGTTATACAGCATTTTCTTATCCAAAAGAAAAAGACCCTTTAACTTCATGTGAACTTCGAAAACAGTAAAGTCAGTATTGAAGATTAATGTAAAAGTGTGTATGGGAGAGGGGAAAAGGGTTGTTTGTTGTTGTTGTTATGCGCCGTGGAGTCTGACCTGACTCATAGCGACCCCTGCTTGGGTTTCCAAGGCAGTATCACTAAGGAAGTAGATTATCCAACCTTCCTTCCGAGGAATGGCTGGTGGGTTTGAAGCACTAGCCTTTCTGGTTAGCAGTCAAGTGCCTTAGGCACTATGCTACCAGAGCTCCTAAGGGCTGTTTAAGGCATTACAAATAGATGGAATTGGGCCAAGTACCTTTTCACACAATCCCCACCTGCTCTTTTGTTTTCTTCCTTCTAAGGCCTTCTCTGATCCTGAAAGCATTGTTGTTGTTGTTGTTATGTGCCATCAAGTCGGACCCGACTCATAGCGACCCCTCCTTGGGTTTCCGAGGCAGTTTCACTATGGAAGTAGATTGCCCCATCTTCCTTCCGAGGAGTGGCTGGTGGGTTTGAACCACCAGCCTTCTGGTTAGCAGTCAAATGCCTTAGCCACTACACTACCAGAGCTCCCCCTGAAAGCATTAGGAATTATTTTACAGCCCATATAAACCTAAGATAGTCTTACCATCAAGATTTCTGTGACTGTAATCTTGGCCCCTCATACCTTCCTCCTCAAGTAAACGTGACAAACCCTAATCTCCTTGGCTACTGTAGCCACTCTTGCCAAACTTTGCCCTTTTCCTTAGATGGCTGGTAAGTAATGACCAGAAAAGCATAAGGCATTCCACAGGCGTCTGATTTTGTACCACCGGAGGAGAACATTTTCACTGTTGTTGTTCTTACTTCTCCATGCTGCCCTACACTTCTAAACCTTTTACCATAGTTTACGAAGCAGTTTGAGTTTGGGCAGGGCTGTCTGGAACAGGCACTCAAACTGTGCACTGCAGAACTCCATGGAGCACCATTCACAGACCACATTATGCACGGCATCCTCTGCAGCACGAAGTGTTAAGGCCTTCAAGCAGGGGCTCAGCTTAAATGCCAACTGAGAAAGTGGCATGGCCAGGGGGAAGTGCTACTGATCTGTGAGGCTGCCTTGCGGATAGGACCCTGGAAAACTGATCCCAACCATTGTAATTTCTCTAACTCCAGGGATTCCTGTGTTCTTAGCTCCTGCCTTGTAACCTAACAGTTCACAGCTTACCACTTTGAACCATGAACCAATTCAACTACTTCGCTAGCATTTTTAAATGCCTAGGAATGACCCTATTATTCTGGCTGTAACACATTTTGGGAGCCACCTTGTTCACAGCCCGTTCTTCTAAGGCCACATCAAATTCCTATGAGGACCAGAGGTTAAAGACATGACTGGGACAGGTATAACTCCTGCAAACAAACTTTAAGGAAAGGGAGCTTCCAACAGCAACTGACATATGATTTGCCAGCATAAATCCTCTGAGAGAACCAAACTGTTCACTAAGCATTTCTATAAATACTAAGCATTTTTATAAACTCCTCAACAGAACGCATGGCTATGGTTTTTACACTGTGACTTGCTCAACAACAGCTATATCGTGTACCTAAGAAGTACCGTTTGAGGGCACAAGAAGGAGACACAAAATCCAACCATTTCTACTGCATGCTTTACACAGCGTTCTGATTTAGTAAATGTTTAAAGTAATGCTATTTAATTAACTGTTCAATCTGATGACAAATATGAGAAGTTTGACCATTAATGACCTAGAAAATAAACAAGTCAATCAGTTTGATTTTTAGACCATGGTGGAGACAAGCTCCTCAAAGCTACTATTTTAATCATAGTGAAAAACTTTGATGGAAGAGATAAATACTAATCATAAATCTAGGAGGCTCCTGGATGGCAGAACCCAGAGCATCCACTGAGGGCTTGATAAAGCTGATACGAGTCCTGACAGCACAAAAGTCCAACCAGTGAGGCAAGTAGCAAATGAAAGACTCTTCCCCAAAGCACCTGAATGCTTCCTTCCTCTTGCCAGCCTAGACGAGAGCGTTAGAGAGCGTCAACACGAGAGAGGTAGGCCATCAATTACCAGAGTATTCAGGGACAGAGGCAACACTGCAATATTATGACCATTTATGGAATCATCATGATTCCATTTTTACAAAATAAAGAGCCAATAAATAGAAACAACCCACAATGTCCATCATTAAATGAATGAATGGCTGAACAAAACGTGGTATAGATAGATAGATAGATAGATAGATAGATATGTGCAATAGAGTATCATTTAGCCAGAAGAGAGCAATGAAGTTCTGGTACATGCCACAACATGGATTAACCTTGAAATCAGTACACTGAATGAATAACCTGGAAACATAAGGACAAATATTCTACAAACCCACTTAAGAAATATCTAGAGGAGATATGTACAGAGATATGCATAAAGCAGAAAATGTACAGAGAAAGTAGATGAGAGGTTACTAGGGCAGAGGGGAGAGAGGAATGGGGAGTTACTGCTTAATGAGTAGAGAGTTTCCGTTTGTGGGGATGAAAAAGTCTGGGCCATAAACAGTGGCAATGGTTACACAACATTGAGTATAATTAATGCCACAGAATTGTATGCTTAAAAGTGGTTAAAGTAACAAATTTTATGTTTTACATATTTTACCACAATTTTAAAAAAGAAAAACACAATGTAAAGTACACTTTCCAGTGTAAAGAGCAGCTCTCAAAACTCAATTATAAACCCCGAACTCAGAGTGTTGTTAACATTCTCCTCCACAAAATAACATAAGATTGAAGTTTACTTTCTGCCTGGAGCTATCAATCTCTTCTACCAATTTCCAATACATGTTTCACCTTCACAGTGAAATATAAAAGAATTATAAAGTGATATATTTCCAAAATACTATTATTTAAATGTAAACAGATTATTTTATTTAGAAGAACAGTAAAACTATCAAATATTAAAATCGAATGGCAGAAAAATAAAAAGAGTCCTCAAAGATCAGCCAAGATCACAGTTAAGCAGACAGTGACCTGCAATGGGCACCGGCAGTAACTGCACGATCCACAGGTTCATCCAGACCTGGACAGCAATGAAGGCCCAGACGAGACACACGAAGTAGACGTCACTGGTTTTCTTCTTTCTGAGGAAAGTTCCAATTTCAGGTCTTGGTCTGCCCAGAGTGGGTGAAGGAGTGGAAGCTGAAGAGGACGAGGACAAAGCCGGAGGGGGTTCTCCCTTGTCCGTGGCTTCTGAAGAGGGAAAACGAAACATCACACCCTGCATTAACCCACAACAGTGACAGTAACACAGAGCCATTCACCAGGGTACCCTATTTCAAGGCTTTAAAATGAACACTAATAGTCTTCATAGTACGATTAAACCAAAAAAACCAAACCCACTGCCATCAAGTCAATTCTGATTCACTGTGACCCTAAAGGACAGAGGAGAAGCCCCGCAGGGTTTCCAAGGCTGTAAATCTTTACAGAAGCACACAGCCTCATCTTTCTGCCATGGAGAACCTGGTGGGTTTGAACCACCAACCATTTAGTTAGCAGCCAAATGCTTTTTAACCACTGTACAACCAGAGCTCCTTATAGTATGACTACTTACACTAGGTTAAAAAAATTTGTTTAAATAAGTGTGTGTGTGTGTGTATACACACACACAAAGATACACACATGTATGTGTATATTTGCACACATACTGGAAAATATATGGAGAATCACACTGCTGACAGTGTTTAAATCTGAGGAAAATAAGGGTTTTTTGGGGGGGGCAGTTAAGGATGGGAGACGGAATATTTCACTCTTACCTTATTTATACACTTTATATTGTTTAAGTATTTATGACCATTAAAAAGAAGAGAGAGAAAAAACACATAACAAAATACTGAGAATTATAATTCACTCATAAAATTATTCAAACTATAGAAAGCAGCAATATTAAAAGGTCCTAGAATTCACATATTTAAAAAGTCCTCTTTTAAAAGAACTTCCTATTACATGTATTTATATGTATTTCTGACACAATGTCATTTCACCTAAAATGGAACCAACCACTCTTACATGAAAAAACTAAGCTTTCAAATACATCTTTTCATTTGAATGAGCCATAAAAACAAAGACAGCTTGCCAGGGGTAAAGAATTTTCAAAGGAAGGAAATTACACTAAATGATTTACTTCACATAAGGCACTGCTGACCAGTCACGCAACTACTAGGTTATATTTCACTACAGCATCATGTTATTTCTATTCCCAGGTTATAAGAGATACCATATATATGAAAAACCATGTAACTCTGAGGGCAGTATTCCTTGGTGTGCTCTACAATAATGGCAATGAATTAAGATCCTAAAACCTACAACTGGCCTTTCATAAAACAAAAATTTTTTAACTATGTATTTCAGAGAGTCAAGGAAAAAGTGAGAATCGCCATCCACTCACCCTCTCTCCACCCACAGTCCTGCACAGCACAGCTTCCCACGGCCGTGTCACGTTCTGTTTACCTTTCCTCACTTTCTCTCCTCAGCTGAATGTCAGTTCCATGAGCACTAAGACTCTCTGTCTTGCTCTTCTTCCAGTGCATTCCTAGCCCTGAGAACAGTACCTGACACAGACTAAGCAGGGACCCACTAAACATCTGTTGAATAAGTGATTTCTCTGCTATTTGGTAACTTTCGTAAGTAACTGCATAGTAGTGGTCCTCTGAGTGCTGTATCATAATATACTTAAATGTTTCTTTTACCAATGAATGTTCACTGTGAGTAAATTTTCACACTGATCTAACCAGCACCATGGAGAATCAGCCCACCTCCCAAGGAGTACCGTTCTGCCCAAGCTCTGTGAGTATCTGATGTGGAAATCTGAAGCTGGTGGGTATGTATGGTGGATACTGGGACAAGTAAGTCCATAATCAAAACATTATCCTCTCCCTACTCTGGAATATAATTCAGTGTGTAAGAAAATTAAGTTATTCCTACTACCTGAAAGGCCTTTCTGGCAGTTGATCCCTTCCTTCAAGTCTTTTCTAAAGGCAGTTCTTCAGGAAGACATACCACATGCCCTAGCTCCAAATGCCCCTGGCACTCTCAGACTTGTCCGCACAGGCAGGACGAGCGTCCACACTACTGAATTCTGTGCGAGTACAAGGGTGACCTGAACGCTGGCATGAATCTACGTTCTGGGGACACACAGGAGGCCGCAGCAACTGTGCAGCCAGGCCACACAGAAGGCAGAAGCCAGAAAAACCAGCCAGATCTGCTTTAGGGGCAACAGTCAGCATGTTAATAGCATGAGGCATGCAAATCAAAACTTATAGAAGAAAAGCAAGAAATGTCAGAGAAGGAATACCAGAGAAATGAGTGCCTGGAAGATAAAAAAGGAAAGCCAAGAAAATGCGGCAAAGGGGAACAAAAGCTTCCTGAAGACTTGGACCAAACTAAAACAATGGAGAACTGAACATAGGCGTAGAGGAAAGAAACGGAAAATAAGAAACCAAGATGAGAAAACTGATAAAGTGAGGGAAAGATGTGGAAAAGGTACGTGGGACACCCACAGAAGGAAAATCATACGAAGACATTAAAGAACAAAAGAAAAATTTTAAAAGCATTTAAAAAAAAGAAAAGATACCGAGATAAGAAACCTAACAGGGTTTCTTAAAAAAGTGGCACAAGAACAAAGATGAGAGGGAATAAAGTGTAAAAACAGAGCTCAGGGAGAGAAAAATGAAGGACCAGCAGGAGTAAATTAGCACTTGGTGATGCTAGCGTCTTTCCTAATTTTATATTCTATTTGTATTTCATCCTCCAGAATGACTGGGAAGACGTTCCTCCCTCACATCAGTCACCTGCAGGCTGAGTCGAGGGCTGGTCTTCACTGCTTGATTCATATCCTGTAATGGAGATGGCCAAGGTAGCGAGGGTGGAGGCCGCCATGGAGATGACCTGCCCTGGCAACTCTGCCCCTGTAAAACAAGCATTGTTAAAACTTTTTAAAACAAATGGAAAAAGTAGGAAATAACTGTTGCAATCAAAACGTAACACTGAGAGTTATTACTGATCCACCACACTAAAGGTTTCCCACCAAGGTGGAATATTTAAGGATCAACAGGAAAGCTTGCTAAAAATGCAGGCTCCTGGGCCCTGACAGAGAATCTGGTTTCTGAGTTTGACTTTGCTCTCTGACAGTCTCTCTCATTTGGGGACTCCATGCTCAGTGCGGCAGATACTGGACCTTTAAACATGTAGTTCCACGTGTATGTTTCTAACCTCCTGAGCTGTTTCAATACATAATACTTCCACAGAGAGACACTGCCACACAAGTCTGTGAGCTCCCTGAATGCAGAACACCTACCCTCCTTTGTACTAACAACTTTCATATGGACACCTGAGATGTGACGTTCTCAACAGTAATATTCTGGGAATGAATATGCAAATGTATGGGTAGTCTGTAAAAACATACAGATCTATAAAGTACATAATTCAGCACAGGCAAATTCACCGCTTGAAAATCCGAAAGAACATCATTACCTTGTTTCATGTGACGTTTCCTTGCTATGTTCCTAACAGGTACCAAGCGTAGTCATCTGCACTAGACTCAAATAAAACATCACTGGCACACGAGGTCTATCTGTAACGGTCCGGCCTTAACGTCCTACAGCTGATGGTGCCAACAAGCTCACACCACATCACGCCCTAGTATGCCTTCCACACCCAAGAGGCTAGAAGGCAAAAGGCTGAATTTTGTGGGCTCCCTTGCTGCTGAGGTCCTACGTGTGATGCAGTTTCTCCCGAGCGGGCACAGCAGTGTAAGACTGGAAGATGGAAGCGGCAAAATCTGAGGCAGTCTGGGAATCAGAAAAACTTCTCCTGATTTGGGGGCCACACAGTTCTCATCTCAAGCAGTCACAGAGGTCAATGGTTTGTTGGCAGCAACTACATCAGAGGTCCCCGAGATCTGAGTGTCTGGTCTCTAACTTCGTGGGAGGCAACAGCAGCAGTGGGATTTCTGCTCTAACACTCCTCTGGCACGGCTGCATATTTCTCCTGGTTGAACTGCTTTTGCCTGTGTAGGATTCAAGCTTGGTTTTCTATCTTTTACTAAAATTCTTTACGCAAAAATTCTGCATGCTAACCAATATATCTTTGTATTTAAACTAGCTAGAGTGGATTCTACTGTCCACAACTAAGAACACTGATCTTTCCCCATCATCCAATCATCCACCTACACTCATAAACTGGGTCCATACTTTGGATATGCCAATAGTCAATACGACAGCAGAGAATTCCGCCAAGCCAAGGAAAGAGAGGCCTGACTCTTCAGAAGAACAGTGAATTTCAGCTCCACAGGATCTTGGCGGAACTATTAACTTCAAGGCTACCCACCTCCCAGAGATAAGCAGGCCAGGGCCTGAGATAACTCTTTGGTAGATTCCATTTAGGGCTCCCTTGGGTCCAGTCTCAAGAGTATTCATCTTGCTCAACCATATCCTATCCCTCCTCTAATAAATCTCCCTGTGACCTAAACAGGTCTATTTTAGGAAAACCAGAAGAAATTCCAACTGATGATTTGGGAGGTGACTATAAATTAGATATATGAATTGGGACCTTACGCTCCTCCCTACGTATTTAAAGTATATCTGAGATAGCAGTAAGAGAAAAATCCCACTGCCACTGAGTTGTTTCTGACTCATAGTGACCCTACAGGACAAGACAGATCTGCCCATAGGATTTCCAAGGCTGTAAATCTTTATAGAAGCAGATTGCCACATCATTCTCCCACGGACCAGCTGGTGGTTTCAAACCACTGACCTTTCAGTATGCAGGTGAGCACTTAATCACTGAGCCACCAGGGCGGCTTCCAATAAGAGAACAAGGCCTAAAGAGAAAGACAATGCCTTTTATGTCTTCCATGTACTCCTTACTGTGTTGGGTACTGAGAAGAAACACACAGTCCCCTACCCTCACGGAGTCTAGTGGAAGAGGCAGATAAGAACTAACGAATCACACAAATAAATACGAATTAAATTATAATGACTGCTCCAAGGAAAAATACTGGTATTTTATGAGCTCCTATCAGAAAAATCTGAGGTAGTCTGGAGAATCAGGAAAAGCTTCTCCTAAGAAGTAAAACCAGAGCTCATAAATGGAGGAGAAGGAATTGACCAAAGTGGTGGAAGGACTAACATTCTGGTCTGGAGGAAGACAGCAGGAATGCTATACATGAGAAGAACCTGGCATGTTAAAAACTGTGAAAGAAAAGTCGGTGCATCTGGAACAGATTGCTAATAGGAATCTGGTACAGGAAAAACAAGGCCGCAGAGACAGGCCAGATACCAGTTCACAGCAGACCATGCTGAGGACTTTAGTCTTTATCCTAAGAAGGCTAAGAAGGCAATGAGGGGGTGTGTGTGTGTGTGTGTGTGTGTGTGTTAATTTTTATTGTGATTTGGGTGAAAGTTTACAGAGCAAATTCATTTTCCATACAGCAGTGCATACACATTTTGTTTCATGACATTGACTGCAATTCCCCACAGTGTAACAGCTCTCTTCCCACTTCCTCCCTGCAGTTACCTCTTCCCTGTGTCCTTCTTTCCTTTGCATTCCTGACCCCCAAGCTATCTCCCTTCTGTTCTCCCACAACGGATTGCTCTAAGGATTATTCCTACTTGATGTAAATGCTCACCCTATATGCTTGTCTGTTGTTTGGCTGGAAGCCACAGAAGTGAGTTCAATTCCAGACCTGAAGGGTAACTAGGGATCATAGTCTTGAGGGTCTCCATCAGACCAGTAAACCTGGTCTTTTTTTTATGATTTTGAGTTTTGTTCCATTCTCCCACTCTGTCCAGGACTTCCTGCACTGACCCCTTTCCAAGTGGCTAATAGTGGTAGCTGGGGACCATCTCATTCTTCTGGACTCATGGTCATTTAGGTTGAGGATCGCATGGTCTACTAGTCCCTTGAACCAACTGTTTCCATGCATCTATGGTTTTCTTCATTCTTCTTTGCTCTGGAGTAGGTGAGACCAATTGTTGCATCTAGATGGCTGCTTGCAAGACGCCAGTCACTACTCACCGAAGTAGGATGTGGAACAATGTTTTTATGTATGTACCACGTCAATTGAGCTTGATGTCCCCTAAGATCATGGCCCTGAGCTGACAGGTCCTACTACTCCTTCCCTCAGGGTGGTTGGCTGTGGCCAAGAAGCTATCATAACTTTGCCCCTTGTTAACTCTAATATATTTGGACATTCCTATGTTGTTGTTGTTGTTATTTGCCATCGAGTCAGCCCCGACTCATAGCGACCCCTTCTTGGGTTTCCGAGGCAGTATCACTACGGAAGTAGGAATGCCCAACCTTCCATACAAATGCATATGTAGAAATATCATCTGTCAACCCTATATATGGTCATGGGTATACTCCCTTTTGCCCAGACATACCTGATCATTCAGCTGGTCTACCCACCTGTTTCTCCATAGATTAACGTTTGTTATCACTGACAACGCAGTGGCAATAAAGCATTTTAAACAGGGTAGCAAAGTGCTTAGTTTTTTTAAGGTGAAATGTGTATTGGGATAATTGAAGATTCACATGTAGTTGCAAGAAATACAGAGAGCCCATGCACCTTCCATCCAGTTTCCCCCAGTGGTAAAATCATGCAAAACTGTTACTATATGACAACTAAGATACTGACATGGATACAGGATACAGAACAGCTCCTTCACTCCAAGGACCCCTGGGCTGCTCTTTTAAAGTCACATCACCTCCCTCCTGCCCTTCCTTGCTCCACAAATAAATGCTACGTTTTGAAATATGTAAAGATCATTCATGCTGTTTGGTGAGGAATAGACTAGGCGGGACAGAGGTACAGGAATCATTGCAGCAGTACAGGTAAGACATGGTGGCAGCCTGGGTGACAGTGGAGAGAGTGGAGATGGAGAAAAATGGCTGAATTCAAAGCAAACGAAGGAGATAAACGGACGAAGACCCGGAGATAAACGGACACAGGGAATGAAAGAAAAGAAGGCATCAGCAATGGCTACTGAGTCTCCAGACGATGGTTAGATGGACAAGGCGTTAGGGAATCAGAGACGGTGTCAGAAATATGACGGCTCTTCTGAGGCACTCAGATAAAAATCCCACAAATGAAATGGCTATACCAGAGCAGCACTTAGCTTCCTGGCAGCCTGCCCAAGGGAGATTTCTGAGGCCCCACTCGAGAGCTAAGTTTTGGGAACACCTAATGGCTAATGCACTGGGACTGAAGAGTAGGAAAAGGAAAAAGAAATCCTTCCAGTCAAACTTTTTAAGAAACCCAAAGTATTCTCTTTTATATAAAATCAAAGAATAGTCAAGGGCCCTGAAAGACTAAACTCTCCTCTTCACAGGTAATTTAATGAAGGAGTCATTCTTCTTTGATAGACTCTGAGAAGTCAGTCCCTTGAGGTTTTTAAGAACCTCCAAGATAATAAGATCATTTTAAAGCTCGTCAAACATGGACTTTCAGTGTGACTGCATTGTGACTTCTATTTCTGAATTTCCACCAAGCATTCACTCGCCCAACAAGTGATGAGGCCATGTGCTGAGATAAGAAATTCAGTCTCTTTCGCAAGCGTACTCTAATATGTAAATCACCAGTTATGATTCAGTGTATTAAGAGCTAACATAAAAGTATGTGTAAAACATATGGGGACCACAAGATAGAAACCTAATCCAAACTGGAGGGTCAGAGAAGGGTCTCCCAAAGGAGCTACTTGACTGGAATGTCAAAAGATGTCATCCTTTAAATCCTTTGTAACAAAAGTTAGCTGGATAAAGAAGCCAGAACAAGTCAACCTTGGAGAGGCAGGGAGAGGCTGGTATCTTAGAGATCAGGGGCAGAAAAGTGTTCCAGGAAGATAGAAAAGCAAGTGTAAAGAGACAAACACAAGAGAAAGGAGAGTGTGTTGTTCAATGAATGGTAAGC